GAGGCTTTGCCGTGTCCTGGAGGAGCAGGATTGGCACTGCTGAGGAGCTGGGCCGGGCTGTGCCGGGGTGCAGAGCAGTTGGTGATGTCCCACAGGCCATCGAGATGGAGCTGCGGCAGATGGAAGTGCAGCAGGCGAACCGCCACGTGTCCCTCCTCACCTCCTTCATGCCCGACAGCTTCCTGCGGCACGGCGGGGACCACGACTGCGTCCTGGTGCTGCTGCTCATCCCCCGCCTCATCTGCAAGGTGGGGCAGGCTGGGAGGGAACACCCGGGCTCTCTGTCCCGCCTGGAGCCGGGATTTGCAGTGTTTGCTGGTGGAGAACTTCCAGAAGTTCATGGGAGACTGCAGTTCCCCCCCTGGTGGGGTTTAGGCTGGATATTGGGAAAATTCCTTCCTGGAGAGGATTGTAAAGCACTGGAAGAGGCTGCTGAGGGCAGGGGGGAGTCCCCATCCCTGGGGGGAATTCACAGCCCTGTGGATGTTGGTCGTGGTCTTGGACTTGGGGACATGGTCAGCGGTGGCCTTGGCAGTGCTGGGGGAGCAGTTGGGCTTGATGGTCTTAAGGACCTTTATCCAACCCAAATAATTCCATGATTCTAAAGTGGTCTGGGAGAAGGGAGGGGGAGGAGGCAGGCCCTGGCCGTGGGGGTGGTGGTGCTGGTGGGTCACTCTTTCCAGGACCGGTCACTTTTGGGGATGTGGAGGGTGTGTGGCTGCTCCGTGGCTGAGCACACGGAGCAGGGAAGCTCGGGGTGCCCTGAGGGCTCTCCCTGTGTGCCCCCAGGCGGAGCTGATCAGCAAACAGGCCCAGGAGAGGTTCGAGCTGAGCGAGAGCTGCGCGGAGCGCGCGGGGCTGCGCGGGGCCGCGGGGGAGCAGCTCAGCTTCGCCGCCGGGCTCGTGTACTCCCTGAGCCTGCTCCAGGCCACGCTCCACAAATACGAGCAGTGAGTACCTGCGCCCCCAGCCCCACCCCCACAGCCTCTGGGAGCCGAGTCACAGGGCCCTGGGGGGCCGGGCTGGAAAAGAGAGTCGGGATCCCCCTTATTGCCTTGGGAGGGGTCACTTCTCAATGACCCTCCTTGTGTCCCCCCGAGAGGTGACGTGGGAAGGGATTCTGGGAGCAAGCCAGAATAGAAACAAGCAGCAGGATCCCCTTACTGCCTTGGGAGGGGTCACTTCTGTGTGCCCCCCTTGTGTCCCCTGGAGGTGACCCGGGAAGGGCCC